AGAGAGAGAGAGAGAGAGAGAGAGAGAGAGAGAGAGAGAGAGAGAGAGAGAGAGAGAGAGAGAGAGTAGACTCAAAAAAGAAACGGTAGTGAGTGCAGGGGGGCTGGGAAGGTGGAGGGCAGGGCATCCTTCTTCTTTCTCTCACACATTTACAGTGAAGACAGGGCGGGGAAATGAAAATAGAAGAGAGTTACGAGAGTAACTGTATGTGCCACTGCTCCCCAGGCAGCTTCATTCTCCATCCTCCTCCCTGTTCTCCAATTGGGGACACCATGGGGATGAGTCACTTTTCATTAATCCTTTGATATAGCGATTTGGTATAGCATGACAATCCCCTCTGTGATGCTCGGTGCTCAATAGCCCCAACCAGACCCACTGGACATTCAATTCATGATCAAAGCGGATGATCGTAAACTTTGTCCTCCTTCATGCTCTCAAATGAAACAATCCATGGAATCCTTAATTCATCACTTGAAGCTTTAGACAGAGGGTGTGTCTGTACCAGCTTCTCCTGCCTCGTGCTTTGGCAGAGCTGAGGTTATCCCCCCTGCCACTCGGGATTGGCAAGACATGACTGAGTCTGGCTAGTATCGGTCAAAACAGAGATCAGACAAATGTGAGTTGGTCAAAACAGACAGATGGTGACTCTTGCAAGGCCAAACTGGATAGTCTAAACAATAATCCAATCACTCAACCTGCAAATTGGGTTAAGGATCCATGCACTTCCTGGACTCTGACCGGGAACATGGAGAAAGGCAGGGATTGGGAATACACGAAAGACTGAAAATACCTGATAGTGATAGACGAGTCCCCCAATCAAGAAAGCCTGGACCTTGCGGTATCTGGCCTCCAATAGTTGCGGTAGGACAGGACTGATCGCCACTTTGCTGCACATGGTCCACACACCCACGAGGAAGTGGTCGTTCCCTAGCAGAAGCTGGTGTAACCTCCTCACGTTGGTATGATGATTGCTCGACATGTCCATCTGCTGGACCTTTAGTACCATCTACTTCCAGACATGAGGATGGCCTGGAAAGATCCGTTGAGACATCCACTCGCTGCGGGGACCAACCCCTGTCCCTTGAGTCCGTTGCCAGGTCCAGGAGCACCCTGCCCCCGGGAATGCTATCGGCCTTCCCTGCAGACCCCAGTGGCAATGTAGATCCTCTTCTTTCACCTGCAGTTCGCCCAGTCTCCTGGTGTCCATCTGCCAAGATCTGCCCCATCTGTCCATGCTGATTAATGTCTGCTCTCGAGTCTGAGTCATGAATGCAATGAGGCGATTGTGTCCTCTGGTTCGCTAACGTGGGATCGGCAGACACTACTACAGAAAACGCAGAATGCTGATTCCACATGCGTGCTGCAGGGGCCAAAGGATGCACAAAGGTGGGATCGCTGTTCCGATTCCAAATCGGTGTCTGTGTCACTTTTTCAGGGCACGAGGAGGAACACAAGGACATCACAGACTCTGCACTTGCCTCGCGGGGTGCAACCAAAATTGGTGTTGCTTTGTAACGAGCATCACTCTCAGACGTTGTGGAGGGCATGCGTCCGTTCAATGCAGTGCAGCCTGCCATCCACTCAGAAGAGGTCGATCCGTACAGGGTGCTATTCCCTTTAGGTCCAGACAATGACTGAACCACAGGTTCGCGCTCAGCAGTTGCCACAATTTTCTCAGTGTCCTTACTGGAATGAGGGTGATGATGCAAGTACTGATTGTGCTGGGTGTGGTCACTGTGCGCAGACATTAAACGAGTCGGAAGCAACTCCTTCACAACGTGGCAATCTGCACTGCTATCTATGCAGACTTCCTCATCACAGGATTGATTCTTCCGGGATGTAGTTGGATGCTGTAGCCGACAAGCGTGGTCAAGTGTCCTCGGACTGAGTGGTTGTTGAAATGAAGCTTTCCCTTTCACTTGAGAGCTTTCTTCATCCTTTGCGGCAGTGTCTGCATTTGGTTTTCGGTTCTGAGGAAGGTTCGTCAAGGAGGCCCTGCACTGTGCATCCTCCTGAGGAACAAGCTTTTCATTCGAAGAGTTCAACTTCTCATTAAATGATGGAAGATGACATGTCAAGGCCCGTATCAGATCTTCATTTGTTGGCATCTGGATATGCGCGCCTTCAGCCACAGCAGCGAGCAGCACATCGTCATCTCCTGCAAAACTACATCCCTGCTGCTGCTTCTGGTCACGAGGAGGCACATCAGGCAGCGGTTGTCGAACAGGAGATGTCGTGCGCATTCCGTGAACGGCTTGGGAAGGCCCCTTGAATATGCCATCATTTGCCATGTGAGTCGGGGGTTGTTTGAAAGCCGTGGCTCCTTTTGTGCCAGCGCACAAATCTCTAATCCTGCCAGATATGGCAACAGGAGAGCTCATCTTCGATAGAGTATCCACCCGACTATTCTCTACTGTGCCATGAGCAGACAACAAGAAGTTATCTTGTCTTATTCTATGGTTGTGGACCTGCAGCCCGTCAGGTGCAGGCGTGAAGATGTCCAGCTGCGTGGACCCCCGGGCGGTAGTTGGATTGATATGCAGACCAGTTGATGTCCTGGCCACCCCATGGGATTGGAGCTGATGCCGGATAGTGGTGGTGACAGATTCCGTTACTGGCGCTTCTCCGCCAGCACAACCGAGGGTCGTCCGGCCGTTTCCGGGAACTAGATGGTCAGGCTCGTGCACCATAGCTGCAGAGCTTTGGCATGGAGGTGGTGTGTCCACTCTAGGAGCGTTTTCAGGAAGATTAGGCAGATACGATTTGGTGATCGCACTCTCGCGTAATTGACCCAGAGCATCCCCCGACAGCAGACTTTCTTCAGGCCAGGATCTTTTTGCCACTCTCCTTTCGGAGAACTGGCCAGTTCTGCGGGCAAGTGCAGCAGCTGCTGTTGCTGCTGCAATCGTCTGAATAGGAAGACAACTATTATCGTCTCTCTTTTTCGCCGCGACATTGAAGCTCAATGAGCCATTGCTATCAGGCAGGGAGAGATTGTCGCACGCCACCTGTGTCCCCTGCAATGCACCAGCCTTCTTCAATTCGCCAAACGGCGGGTTTGAAGACTCCGCAGATCGAAGCCCTCGTTGTGAGAGTGATGTAAATGCTCCTGTCTGCCCATGCACAGCTCCTCTACTGATATCCACCGCCACCTTTGGCAAAGCATGGGAGGGCTTTTGTGCAGGAGCACTAGGAGGTGACTTACACGGTGAATGCGGTTCATAACCTCCCCCGGCAGAGAGGGAGTCTGCACATGACGATCTCTGTTGAGCGGCTGGCAAGAGTTTGGAACTGCCTTTGAGATTGACCATGTCCGTGACAAGCAGCGATCCTCTTTCAGCTCCCTTTTTGAGGAGGCTAACGTTAGAGAATTCGCTGACTTCAGCCCCAGAATCTGTTGACAAGTCCGCCGGATTGTCCTTTTGCAACAGACTGGCACCACCAGCTGAGACTGGTGACGTGCTTAACACCAGACCATGCCGGGTCAAGGCCACAGGTTCATGCATCACTATGGAAATCAAGTCATCTTTGCCGTGACCTGAGTGCTCAGGCTTGCCATGAAGATCATTATCAGGTTTTGGATCCGACGACTGCTCCGGCTTAAAAGCCTTTGCTGCTCCCTCAAGGCGCCGACGGGAGGCGCTAATGACTGAACCGACCGAAGACCCTAGACGCACCCCAGTAAGTCTCCACTGCATCACTTGTTCCTGCGAATTGCGGTCTGTGCTGGACGGATTCAGATATCGGTTCCTGTACTTCAGCTGCATCCTTGCTGCAAGCGGCCGTGAGACCTCCGCTTGCTGCTGGAGGGTCTGGGGTTCCTTACCTGTCCACGTGCCAGCATCCGTGTCCTGAAAGGCCTTGCTACCATGTCCCTGAATTCCAGGCTTGTGGTTGAGCTTGTCGGAAGCTTCCTCAGCTGTCATTGGAGGCAAGTCCCTGACATGGCCTTTCTCCCACTCCCTCGAACATAGTGACCTTGCCTCTCCTCCCTTACCCCCATCCAATCCCGAATTGGTGGCGTCTGCGTCGCCTTCACCAACAAAAACCTCCCCAACTCTCCTGGCATTGGTAGTACAGCCATGGTCCGCTGGGCACAGGGAAAGATCATCTGAGCAGTCTGTTTTTCTAGCAGGACTACATCCCCTTATCTTCACCCTCTTCTCCCTCTCTCCTCGTAGTCGGTAGGAGGGTTCGCCGGGATCCGGAAAGCACTCCATCTCTTCCTCCCTTGCTTGCCATCCTTTTTCATATTCCTGCAGCATATCACATTGCGGAGGTGGCTTGGGAGGGGAGGGGGCAGGTGCAATCTTATCTGCTGAGGAACTCACTATTCCATGCTGATTCATCACATTCCTAAAGGAAGCAATAAGGTTACTGTCTCTTTCCTGAGAGGAAATAGCCACCTTTGTCCTCATTCCAGTCACAGACTCTGACAGACTTACTGGCTTGCTGCTACTCCTGGGTTTTCTGGCATTCCCTTTGCGACCAGTCAATGTGGCTTCATGTGGTTCAGCGCAGCTCTCACCCTGGTGCAGAAGGTCACTCCTCTCCTCGGACGTGCCTGACCTCTGGTCCCAACCTGCAGCCCCCCCTTCACACTCCCCATCATTATCATCTTCTCGGCCCTCATCGGCAGCTTCATGAATCTGCTTCCTTCTTCCCCCTCTTGACTCCATACGCTGCCTTTCACGACCATCATAACCTTCACAGCCACTGGGCACCGGCCTTTTCTTAACTTCATTTGGATTCAATGGAAACTGACCGCTGCTGTTGCCCTCCGTGCCCCCACTGTTGCTGGACGAAGCAGCGGTGTACAGTATTGCTGGCGACAAATGGCTGGTGGACCTTCTCACTGGCCTGCTTGAAGATATTTCCATCTTCTGTTTCTTCTTTCCAGATGAGTCAATCGCCCCAACCTTTGTGCTAATACTCTGACGGGAAAGTTTAGACGACTGTTCTGCAACTGTGTGTTCGGCACAGACAGAATCATCCCACTCTATCTTTCTCTTGGATGATGATGATGTCGATAGCCAGTGTGCTCCCCTTATTCCTTCAGAAAGCTCAATGCTATGGTCAATACAAACTGCTGCCATACTCGCACCGCGCGTATTGTGCCTCCGAATCACATCTTGCGGCAAGAAACTCTCATTGCTCATGACGCCCCCGTTTGAGGAATCATTGGGTGTCGTCAAGTTCACACACGCTTCACTTCTGAGAGATTTTCGCCTCTCTCTTATCTTCCTCTTGTTTCCTCCATCACTTGCTTCACATCGAGAAAGACGAGGGGGGACGACACTGCGCTTACAACTGCTTCTCCCCCCGACGGATTTGCCCTCTTTAGCTCCGTCTACCTTCGCAGTCCAATTACCTAACTGTTGCTTACTGACTCTTCCCCCTCTACCCCCTCCACACCACCGTCCTTGCCTACTCCCTGCAGTTTGCCGTCTTGCCTTGCTTACTGGCTCATCACTCGTAGCAGAGTTGGGAACCCTCTCAGCCCTTTTTGGCCCAGCGCAAAGCACTCCACCACCTGCATCGGGAGGGAATCGTTTCTCTGTGTGATCAGCATGTGCCTCCTGTTGCCGATCAGTGTCGGTGACGTATTTGGTCACTTGAACAGCAAGCTGGAGCAGCCGGTCTGAGCACGAGTGGTCTGCTTTGCCATGCTTGCTTCGCTGACAAGGAGTCCTGCCAGTGAAAGTCTGTTCCGTCTCATTTCCTGAGTTTCTACCGTCTTCGAGTCCATCGCCTCCTTCCTCTTCGCTAGATTCATTATCCTCCTCTCTAGTTGAGGAAATAATGGGCCCTTTCCTAGGGCGCTGCTTTGTCCGCCTCTTCTTTGTCGCAGTCACTGCTGGATTCTGCCCCTGTCTTGCTTGTTGCTCTCTCTCTTCTGCCTCTAAGTAGCTTCGGTCTAAAGCTTCTGTCAATGCGATTGGACCTCTGCGTTCAACATCATCAGACAGCTCTGTTCCCGTAACAAGGCCGGGATATTTTCGCTTCAAAGTTGAGTTCCAGTGATTCTTGATCGCATTGTCCGTTCTGCAACAGAGTCGACGAAACCACCATCGGATCCATGAAATCCAATTAGTGCCATCATCATACAATAGATTGCCTAATGCCAAGAAGCACCCTTCAGATTGACTTCCTAATGCCACATCTCACTGTAGGGTGACACAGAAAAACAGGCATGCCGGCAGGTTCAGATTCAAACCCCAAGTGTGCTACCCACGGATGGATGCTGGACAGCAAAACCCTCCGACGCTCAAATCAAAACACAGCCATCTTCACAGACAGAAAGGGAGAACCTCGGAATGATCAGGTCCTGTGGAGATGAAGATGGTGCAAGGCATGGCATCAATTTTGGACCTGTGGGAATCCCAAAGTTTGCAGAGGGCCTAAAGAGGAACGAAAAAAGTCCATGGTCATTCAGGACATCCGTTAAAATTGGAACGATACAGAGAAGACTAGCATCAACCCATTAAAAATAACTGAAGGGAACCTACGCCAAATCTGGGTAGGTATGGCTGGTACCAAGGAGGATGACAGTAGGCAAAAATTTTCCATCATTTTGGATGGCTGGTCGCCCTGACGGTAGGGAGCGTAGGCCTAGGAAGTTACCATGCAGAAGGGAGATGTGGTGCTTGGCCAGCAGTTCAGTTGCTTGCCCCTGACAGTCGGAGCGATGCTCCCCTTGGCAAAGGGGAAGCAGTCAGCAGTGCAGGAGGAGTTCAAGGATAAGAGAGATGACACACTATGGCTATGGACACTTAGTAGGAGGTGAAAGAAGAAGGGTCTGGCTATGGTAGTGCCCATTATGGGCCTATAGGAGGGGGACATTGTGAGATATGTCGCTTGGCCAGCAGTTCAATTGCTCGCTCCCGAGAAGTCGTCACGATGCTCCCCTTGAGGACGGGGAAGCAGCTAGCAGTGGAGGAGGAGCTCAAGGATAAGCAAGATGACACACTATGGCTTTGGACGCTTAATAGGAGGCTGGATATGGTAGCACCCATAGTGGGCCTATAGGAGGGGGGGACATTGTGAGAATAGGAGGAGGAGGTAGAGAAAGGGGACCAGGGTGAAGACTTGCCTTTGGCTATGGTGGGGGTCCACAACTTTCCAGTCTTCACTCCGAAATGTGGCACTGCATCAAGAAGGTCCTTCTATGGTACATGTGAGTTGAGACTTCTCTCAGAAGTAGGGCGCTGATAATACGAGGATAGGGAGGGAAATCTTTTGAATTGCCATCTGTACACACGTAAGTGATGATGGTGACTCTATAGGTATAGCAGTGCTACAAGGAGGGTGATCGTGTGAAGAAGGGTTGAAGAAGAGTACATTCTGACAAGCTCCCTAGGGAGATCACTCATGCATCGTTTGCTTGCTCATTCTTTCATCTACTCACGAATATGGCGCGATAAAAAGGCGGAAGAGAACCGAGGGCGAAAGCAAGGTGGCAAGACGAGGGAGAAGCATTAATTAGTTGAGAGCATTGTCGTCTAGTTTCTTCTTCCTCCTTTCTCTCTTTGTTGACGTCGTTCGTTCTCGTTCTCAACTCCTTTGCATTTTAAGCACAATTTATACTCTCGCCTCAAATTTGGGTTCCACGTGATGATAGGACTTGGAACAGAGACTTTTGTTTTCCCCAAACAACGGCCAGGGTTACGATTGAGGGTGATATGAGCATCCCCCAATACTAGTCCCCTGCCTTTGGGTCCTGTCTATTGGTGGGGAGCGTCACCTGCTGGAAACCGGGAGCAGAGACTGATATCACTAAAGAATCTAAAGATCTGATTTTGAGCAAACACGATTGGTGCAGTCCAAAGCAAAAGGAAGAACAACAGCCCCAGACTTGAGCTTCTAGCCTCACCGGGCGGACACCTTTCGTGTGAAGACGGTCGGGCATTTGTTTGTGCTCAGTGAAGGTATGATTTTCTGTATCAAAAGGATGTTGAGCCCAATGGCCAGCATCTACTGCCCTTGATCAGTAAGGCTCCATCTATTGGTGGGCCCCTATGACCAGGACCAACTCTTCTTGCTCAGTACGGATCCATCTATTGGCTGGGAGCTGCGACAGCTCACCCCAGTAATGGATGGAGCTTCAATGAAAATGGTGAGCAAGCTTACAAAGCAAGGATCTCGCTCAGCTACCCAAAAAATCATACATATCTTTAAAAAGAAACAGAGACTATTAGAAGCATACGATCAAAAGATGGACTCCACGACAAAAGAAAGGAAGAAAGTCAGAAAAGCGGGATCACTTAAGGTAACATCAACTACATAGATAAGAGCAATTAGATAAAGTCGATAGATCGCAAAAAAAGCAAGATAAGATAAGGTTAGATGGATGCATAGATCAAATACATGGAAAGATCATATAAGTATCATACTATTATTAGATAAAGATTAAAAATCATTAAATAGATAAATAGGATGGATAGGCTAAGACTGGATTAGATAAGATGATATATATATAATATATATCGTCAAATTGAACTGCCCCCTAAACCGTAGGCAGAGAGGGAGAAAGGACAATAACCAGGGGTTGTGACAGACTGTTTCGTCGAAGTTTCACCGACCCATCATGACGCTGAACCCTATTTTTGTCGATAGATGAGATAGAAGATTAGATAACTTACCCAACATATTAGATAACATTGATAGGATATTTGAACAAGTAGATAGCTAACATCGATAAGATGAATACACTTAGATTGGAAGCGATTGCATGTACAGATTTAGAAAAAGATAAAGATTGCATAAAAGATTAGATAACTTGCACAACATATTAAATAACATTGATAGGATATTTGAAGACAGACACGACTTATTCAGCGCCGTTGAAGATACTCGTAGTGAAGAACTCACTGCGAAGACTCAAGGTCGTCGTGAAAGGGGATCACTGGGAATAGCCAGCCCTTGGTTGAACCCCGACCATGTCTCTGATACGCAGCTGAACGGAATACTCGTGAACGTGAGATGCTATCGATAAGATGAATATGCTCAGATTAGACACGATTACATGAATAGATTAAGACAAAGATAAAAATTGAATAAAATAAGGTAAGATAAGATTGGGAAAAAAAAAAGGTTAGATAAGATTGCATGGCGTGGGCTCTTAGATAAGATAAATAAATAGATTAGAGAAGCTCAGTCGATAGATAAGAAAAGATTAAGATAGAGACCCTGAATAAGGTAGATGAGACCGATAAGATGGATAAGGCGTACGCAAGAAATCTAGAATGCAATATCAAATTGAAAGTCCAGAAAGCAGAAATGCACTGATGTTCCACCAACGGAGAACCAAAGCACTGAATCCGGATGTCAATGAGAGCATACTCTCGTTACCACCAAGATATGTATCCAAAGCACTTCCCCCTAGTTGGCGCTCAACGCCCAGACTACGATCAACAGCTACTACCAGCCTACCAATTGACAATGCAACCTGTTGACGGCAGCAGCAACAACCGAAGTGAGTTAAGATGTTGACCGTGTAGACCATCACCAAGACCAGGTACGTGCCCTCACAACATCAACCTCATCTCTCTCTCTCACTCTCGACTTCTAAACCCACGTCTTCTCCCTCATACACGAAGATCACCACCACCTCCACTGGCTATCCAAGCCAAGCCATAAGACCAGATTAGATGGATAAGGCATACTAGATTGGTATGTTAACAAAACATTTGGGAAAAAAAAAAGAAAAAAGGATTACATAATATAAAACTCGCGAGTCTTTAGATAGGTGATAGATAAGATTTATTTGATTCAATAGAAGATTAGACTCGATAAATCAATAAAAATTTACATTCCGCCTTTCCGGACAAACAAACGAAAACTTTCTCGGTTTATGCTATGTATGGCATTTTATGCAGTATTCCATAGATAAGATTTATTTGATTAAATAGAAGATTAGACTCAATAAATCGATAAAAATTTACATTCCGCCTTTCCGAACAAACAAACGAAAAACTTTCTTGGTTTATGCTATGTATGCAGTATTCCAATACAATCGACTTTTGGCTCTGAGTGTCATCTCGACCATTTCTCGATTTATGTGCGTCTCTCATCATTCATAGCCCATTCTAAGAAAAAAGAAATAAAAACAAAAGTATTTGCTTTTTCGTTGTGGGGGGATACATGGGCATGGTTTTGTCCACCACGTTCGATTGCAATATACAAGCACATACGGCGTTCAACACAGCTACCACTCGTTGTGAACTTAGAAAATACGCCAACCAACATACAAACGGGTTCATCTGCCTGTAGTATAAGCATGCACATGTGTAGTATTCGTGTGTGGATGTCTTCACAAACCCGCTTGCTTTCGGTTCTGGTTCACCGCTGTTCTTTTTTTATTTTTCAAAATAAAGGGCAACAGCCTTCGGATATAATTGTCCACCTGACCGGCCCCAGGTAGTTCAGAATTACTTCATTCTGTTCAGGGGATTGCACCCGGATTAGGTGGGATATCGTCATCGACCAGATCGGGCCCAGGTAATTCAGAATTAACTTATTCTGTCATCTGATTGCACCTCCATTCGAATTTCGGTCGGTGTTTCCACAGTTCATATGTGCACCAACTGAGCTACACACTTTGGTTGTTTGCCACTGTTCATTCGCTTAGCCACTCACTAGGGACATGGTTTCGCCACGGAGCACGAGAGTAGTACCTTCCTGGCAAGTGTTTCGCTATGGCTGCCCACTTATTACCATACTTCTTGTGTGCGACAATGATGGCTGCATCTTCCGCTTGGGTGAACGGCTCCTTCTTCAGAACTGGATCAAGCTGATTGCACCACCTGCAGGCAGTTGTGAAAGTAATTAATTAGCCGCTGTAAAACTTTCAAACACAAAACGAAAAAACTGCCGAGCGGGCTGGCTCGGTTGGTTGAGCACGTAAGTGGTTCGATACTCAACGTCGTCCTTTCCATCCCCCGTGGCCTCCTGGGGTATGCTTCGGGTTCACCAGCGGAAATGGTGGGCTTGGGCCTCCTGGCTGGTCGTGGAAGCAATTTAGGCACTTTCCGGACGGCGCCAGGTGTTAGGAGCTTGGATACTGCTCTCTGCATAGAGTAGAGGTGGTGGCTGCACAGTAGGTAGTGTCTGGTAGACCCATAAGGGCCGTAACCCTTAGGGGTGTCTCCTTGGGGTCTAGTGTATATTAGGTAGTGTGAGGTTAAAAAACAATGATGATTTGACAGGTAAATGAATTGGTTGGGCTTAAAGAATTACCTTTTTTTTTAAAAAAAAAAAGAAAAAAAAGAATAGTAAGTGCATCTGTTCCCAGATGGAAGAAGACAGCCTGCATTTAATTATTAAAAAAAAAAAAAAAAAAAAAAAAAAAAAAAAAAAAAAAAAAAAAAAAACAGAAAACAAAAACGAATCAGCACAGTTGTGAAATATTCATTTTGCCAGGTACCCTTTTCATTAAACCAGCAGTCTCTGCGCACCTCTTTTTTCCAGATACGGATTTCTGCTGTCCGCCAAACAGAAATGAACTGACGCAGGCGTGGAATGTTTATTTTTTCCCTGGCCCTGCCAGTCTTTTCCCTCTGGTAAGCTGAGCTCCTGTTTACGCGCCTTACTGACCACCACGTCAGAACAGATCGCAGGCAAAGGGACTGAGTGGCTTAGAACTAAGAATTGGCTGGCTTTATTCCGTCCATGGTTAATAAAGGCTCGAGGTAAGTCCGTTCATGTCACCTTGGAGTATCGAATGGGCAAAAAAAACACGCGTCGGTGAAGAAAACCGCGCCGAGTTTGAAAAGGCACTGGAAGTACTGACGGCCGTGGTGTCAGACCAGGTGTCATATTTACAGGGGTCGGTCGTGGTGTCAGAAGGGGGGAAAAAAAAAAGAAAAAAAAAAGGTCAACGGGTACTTTTGGACCGAAATCGCTTGTTTCGAGTTGCCGCGTGCTTTCTTTGCCGACATGAGTTTTTTCAACTTTTTTGTGCCACAAAGGGGCTCGCCTCACTGAGGTGTGTCTCTGTTCTCTAGGTTTTCAAATCGAACGTCTGATATCCGGAGTTGATTTTTTACCATCTGATTGTGACTGGCAGATTTCCCTACAGATACCTGGACTTAGGCCCTACTCAGAGGAGGACTTTCCTGGATGTATCTAGTCAATTTCCAGTCAGCCTGGGATGCACCTGACCGCAATCACATCTACAGATAGTTTGGAACCCCCCCCCCGTATGAGCGGAGCCTAGATCCAGTTGCAGCCATACTAGTGGTGCATCATGCGTGCAACATGTGCACCTGCAGCGCACGAAGGGGCAGCCTGGCACCACTAACCTATGACTCTATGTCTAGGTTAGTAGGTTTTCAAATCCAATGTTTGACGCCTCATATCAGGAGATGATTTTTATTACGCGATCTGATTGCCACCATCAGACTCCCCTACAAAGACCTACCATCTTAACCCAAATAAAACACCCGGTGATTATAGCTGCATTCGGAGCGATTTCCAGTCCAGATACAGCGATAATTACCGGGTGTTCTTTTCAGGTGAAAACAGTAGTCCAGAGGGACCGCAGTTGTCACCGGGTACAGGAAAGAACGCTGAAGGAATTCTAAATGATGTGAATGTGAAAACATTGAATGCAAATAAATTAAATGAGAATGCTAGGCTACCTGAGTGGCGCAGGACCACTTGCCCGGCCAGGCCAAAAATATATATATATATATCATCACAAACAGAACTGCCCGGTAAACCGTAGGCAGAGAGAGAGAAGAGGACAACAAACGAGGGTATATCTAAAATATATAAAATAACGATTTCTATGATCATAATTTATATATTCATTTATATTTATATATTCATTTATATTTATATATTCATTTATATTTATATTCATTTATAATTATATATTCATTTATGATTGATACTATAATAAATATCAAGAATTCTTTAATTTCATGCAAATATATATATCATCACAAACAGATATATATATCGTCACAAACAGTTGCCCGGTAAAACCGTAGGCAGAGAGAGAGAAGAGGACAACAAACGAGGGGCTGTGATATATATATATATCGTATATATAGAAGAGGACAACAAACGAGGGGCTGTGACATATATATATCGTCAAATAGAACTGTATATATATATATACTTTTTTTTTTTATTTGGTAAAGAATTTCGATGTGACCCTGATGCAAAAGTTGTTCAGTTTATTATTCTGCATAGCATAGTTTTTCTCAGAATTTTTTGTGTTTTTTTTTTTTTTTTTTTTTTTTTGCTGGGACCTTTTTCGGTCCTTGCACGACCGGGCCGCCTGGGCAAACAAGGTGACCCGGGCGGCCCGGCTGGTAGCCTAGTGTAAATGTGAAAACAATAGATGCACATGATGTGAATGTGAAAACATTAGAGGCAACAAGTGGCATGTATAGAATATCTCAAAATCTTACGTGCCGGACTTGTACAGGTGAAAACTGATTCTCTTTGTATTGCTACATGGTAATGCCAGATTCAGATTGGGACATCATGCAGACACTACTGGGATCCCATCTGAACATCTGCATCTAATCCAAATCAGACAGTTGTGAGATTTTTCTTGTATTCAGTTGACGAATTCGGAATTTCCAATTTTTGTTCGTATTGAAAAGTTCAAACTTCAAAGTTCAAATGCTACACAAAATTCTGCTCGAATCTGGCTACGAACCGGGCCGTGCGGGTCACACCTTGGTTCCCTGCCGAAAAAGGGGACCAGGGAAGGTCCCTGCAAAAAAAAAAAGAAACTGCGAAACGACTATGCTATGCAGAAAAATAAACTGAACAACTTTTGCCTCCGGGTCAAATCGAAATTCCTTACCGAAATTAAAAATAAAAATCAAGGGTGCAGCCTCCTGATGAGTCGGTGAAACTGCGATAAAACAGTTTGTCACAGCCCCTCGTTTGTTGTCCTCTTCTCCCTCTCGGCCTACAGCTTACTGTTCAGCTCCGTTTGACGATAGATAGTCCAACAGGACTGCCGGGTAAACTGTAGGCAGAGAGGGAGGACAGGACAGCAAACGAGGCCCTGTGACAACAATTCCGTCAAGAGTTTCACGGACTCATCAGGAGGCTCATATATAGTCTAATATAGATATATATCTTTGATGATATATATACATATTAATGATATTGTATTATTAATAGATAATATATATAGATTGTTTGGCCCGGCCGAACGAGTGGGCCCGGGCCACTCTGGTAGCCTGGTCTCGAATACTATTTCTCAGATTTTTCTTGTGATCAGTTATGACCCTCATCCTACCGTCTTACCTCAAACGGAAGGCACGGTCATTATAGCCGTACGTGGCCCAACTTTCAGTCCAGATGCAGTGAAAATGGTGGTAGGTTCTATTCGGGTGAAGACGGTAATCTTGTGCAACAGAAACAAATTATTTCCCGGATTCCTGTTTAGGTTCTGAAAAAACAAAACTGCCCCCATTCCACGAACAAAGGAAGCATCTGGAAGGGCAGCTAGGGAGATGCACACTCACATGAGTGGCCCGCCGCATGTGGGAGGCCTTGAACCATTCAGAATACAGCAGTGAAACGGCCGTTTAACATACACATCACAATCATTTTAAAGTTTAAACATTACATGGTCAAACTCTTCCAATTATGATATCTGCAAGGAACATGAGTATGGACGAAGCACAGAAATCCAGAATGTAAAATCACACTGAAGTCCAAGTAGTCAAAGCCAAAGCAGATAGCACATGGAACCGAGTAACCATCCAATTGAGAATGAAACAGGAGAATCGTGAGTCAATGTCCATGCCCAACAGGGCAACACCAACAGCATAACCCAAATGTAACTCTCTCTTATGAATGGCGCCAGGCGCCCTATCTACTCTACAGCTATCCTACAACTACAGCAATGAAAAGCAACCAGACAACCTGACTACCAATGAGTGATGATGTCAACACCAATGCCGACCTCCACCATCACCGGGTACGTGTCATCTTCCCCACACTCTCCCTTGTTACCCACACAGCGCCCTTCACCTCCGAAGTACCACCTTCGCCCTCACCTCCCCTGCACCCTC